AAAAAAAAAAAAAAAAAGTGAGGCCACGATAATATTTCCTGTCTGTTATATTGTCAAGATATACATATAAAGAGAATTGCCGATTCCAGATAAGAGCAATTGAGCTGTTATGCATGCATAGGCACCCCAGCCCAGGGCAGCTGCTGACCCCCTCCTCGCTCCCAGCCCACACTCTTTATCCCTGGACTCCTCACCATGTTCTTTAGACTGAGCACCCCTGGATCCTGGATATCCAAGGCCAGAATGGCTTCTCGAGCCCCCACATAGAGAGTATTTCCATCATCACTCAGGAGCAGAGTGTCAAAATCCTGGAGGCCCTTCTGGTGGAAGAAGCTTAGTGCCCTGCGTTCATCTCCTGTTGGAGGTAGTGAGAAGGGGAGAGTGATGAGCAGTTGGTGGGCAGGCAGCTGACTCCTGAGATAAAAGTGGAGGAAGGGGAAGGGTTGCCCGAGAGTGCTCCCCAGGCCTTGGCGACTAGACCCACTCTCTTCCGCCAGCAGCTCCCCCCTTCACCCCACCCCACCGGCAACCACAAGAGCTTTATGTGCTGAGCCCACAGTAGAGAGAGGCAGCCAGAGACAGTGTAATGGGGACAGGAAATAAAGTGAGGCACAGTGGATGCTCTTCCAGGCCTGGGACAGGGAGCGCTGCCGTGGGGAGGACACCTTGGTCCTCACTAGGAGGGGGAGCAGCAGGTAGACAGACAGACAGGAAAGTGTTGGCAGCCGCAAGCAGGAAAGCTACATGCAGACAGGAGGCTGTGTGTTAGAGGGTCGCTCTTGCCACCCACCCAACCACCCCTGCTTTCTTCCTCTTCTGTTAAAGGAAATTCCCACCAGTAGAATCACCATGAACAGAGAGGAAACATTTTTCTTCAAAGATCCATGTGGGCATGCCTGGATGTCACCTGGGCAGGAATGGTGAGCCAGGTGTGGGAGGCTCACCTAGGTCCTCTCCACGACCTTGGCATGGTAGGGTGGGTGGGGGTGTATGTTCCTGTCCCACTGGCGCATCAACAAGGAGGAAGAAGCTCCTCAGATCCTCTCTCATTAGCACTGGCACTGTTGCATTAGTTAGAAGGCTGACTAGCTAATTGATACCTTCTCAGGCTCAGAGGGGAGGAGTTGGGGAATATGGTGCAGTTGCAGGCTGGAAGGGCTGGCCTCAGGAACAAGCATCTCTTGGAGGCCAGGCCTCCCCCAGAGCTGCATAAACCCCTCAGTTACTGAACAGATCACCCTGTATTCATGGTCTGATTGCTCATGTGCTTCCCCCTTGTGACTGTGAACACCTGAGGGCAGGGGCTGAGGTTCATACGTGTTTGTATGCCCGGCATCCAACACAGAGGAGGTCTCTCCATCAATGTGCAATATGCATTTCCTTTACCAATTGCCCCAGAAAGATGCTAAAGATACAGCCATGCCTAGCCACCTACAAATCCTGTAGCATCTATGATCTATGTTCTTTCCTGAATCTTCTCCCTGGAGGTGAGGGGGCCAGCAGCCTCCACAGTCTCGGTAAGAAACCAGCCAAGCTGTGCTTGTGTGTGTATTCCAGGGCCCATTCTCTGACCGGCCATCCCACGGTCCTGGACATGGCATGGTCCAGCATGATCTATGCGGTTGGCATGGGTGTGGCATGCCCTGGGTCACTGGGTCTACACATGGTCTTCTAGCATGGGCCTTGACTTTGGGGTACCTGGGAGTGTGAAAGCAGTTACGGATTTGAGGTGCCCAGCTTGGTGACAGCAATATTTAAGGAAGAAAAGAAAAATCACCAACTTTGGAGAACTGGAAGAAGCAGTGCCCCTCTGGCCCCATGCATGACCCCTTGTTTTCCTCAATCTGTGCTTCAAGTGGCTTTTCTTTCCATTTGGACTTCTATCTCTGGCTGTGTCTCTTTCTCTGAAGCCCTCTGTTTCCCCCTGGCATCTCTCTCTGTGTCTCTGTTTCTCCATGTCCATTTCTCCCCTCCTCTGTTCCTCTCTCCTTCCTCCACCCCCGTCCAGCTCTGCATTGCTATCCCCATACTTCCTGCCGTCGGACACTTACCTGCATAGTATCTGACCCTGGGCGTGGGCCCCTGCCCGCCTCCCCCCGCGGTCGTCGTCGGCAGCAGCAGCTGGAGCAGTTGGAAGAGGAAAAGGCCCAGGAGGCTCCAGGGGTCCAGGCCCAGGGCTGGGAGGGCCATGCTCAGCCACAGGCTGTCACCAGGGAGCTCTGGGGAAACAGGCACCCGGGCACTTTCTGGGTGAGCTGTGCTTACCACATCCCCCCTGGGGACCAATCAGAAAGCCCCGGGCAGCAGAAGTGTGTGTGTGTTGGTGGGGTGTGGGCATTAGGGCAGGGAAGGTTCCCCATCTGGAAGTGCCCTAAGAGAGTCTCACTTTCATCATCCTTCCAGGCCTCAGCCTGTCACCTCATTGTGCCCTCTGGGTAGGAGCCCAGGTGTCCCCCATCCTGCCTCTTCTGCTGTCTTCTCACCAACAGTTCTTGCCTTTTCTTGCCTTACTCTCAAGAAGTCTTTCCTGCCTTTCCTCCTTTGCCTTCCCTCTTCTCACAGCCCAAGCCCAAATCGTTGCCTGGCTCTGGGCAGGGGACGTTTTGGGAAGCAGGTTCCCTTACCCAGAATACAAATTCCTCAGACCTTACTCTCCTGTCTCTTTCAGATCTGTTGACACGTTGTGCCTCATACTCAGCGCTGACCCAGGTGGGCAGACCAGGTTTGAGTTGGCCTGCTCTAACCTCCCCCACCAGCCCCAGCTGGGCTCAGGGTCTTTGAGACTCAGGCCTGTCTGGCCCGATTCTTCCAGGGAGGCGATGAGAGTCCATCCCACCAAGCTGGCTCTCAGCATTTCCCGGGGAGCAGCCTGGGCGGGGTGGCTGGCCGGCCCCCGGCCTCTGCAGCTCCCCGGCCCCCCGTCTCTTGTTCCTGTTGTCTGCCTCCCTGGGCCTCTCCACATAATCTTCCCCAAGACCACCCCCCCAAGCCACCCATCTCACCTCACATACCCTTGAACCAGCCACAGTGGAAAACCTGGTGTCTGGATTCTAGGGCGGGGGTGCCATTCAGGAGAAAGAAGAAGGGGGGTTCCCAGGCCCCAGAGGCACGGGACAGAGAGCTCAGCCTGGCTGGAACGGGAGTGCAGCCCTCCAGGTGCCCATCATGCCAAAGCCAGCACTGGAAGCTCTGGGCCAGGGAAACCGGAATTTCCACCTCTCGAGTTGTGACAGATCCTGGCTTGGGCGGAAGTTGGTGGATTGGGAGGGAATAAAAAGAGGTTCACCCTCCTCACAAGAGACACACCTCTCTCTCTCTCCTCTTGCTCGGTCCATCCAGAAAGTTTAAGAGGCCCTTCTAGGTCATTTCAGCGATTTCCCTGCCTCTCTGTCATGCCACAGCCAGTCTAACCAGGCTAGCAGCGGTTTCTCCTCTTGCTTCAGATTTCGCAGACAGGGGACATGACATATTCCTCTTTTCACTTACCCACAAGGTGGGGTCTCTCCACTGCTACCCACTGGAAAGTCCCTGCAGTGGTCTAACCTTTGAACCTCCCACTCTCAACTGGGCCATAATCTTTTGAAAAAATAAAAGGATTGTATTAGGCTCTTATCTGTGATTTTGCGGAGGAAGTCCCCCTTGTAGTCTAATCTCCGTCACTGTTTGGCATCAGGCCAGTAGGAAGCCCAGAACATTTCCCATCTGAACTCATGCTCACTGACCACACTTTGGAGGCACCCAACCCCCAAAGGTAGCTGGCTGCTCACCTCTCCCCAAAGGCTCCAGGGGAGCCTCATAATGCAGAGTTAATGAGGCATCCAATGCCAAGAACTCCATGGCCTACAAAGTGGGTAGGTTCCTGCCCACTCAACACAGTCAGCTGACTGCAGGTTAAAGAGCACAGACATTCCAGGGTTAATCCACCTCTAATAAATAATCCACTTCCATCTGACATGCGCACTCCTCCCTGGCAGGAAGTCCTTCCTGTAGTGTAACTTCCATCCCTCCTGCTACAGCACAGCCAACTCAGGGGATGTTACAGCTCATGCTACTCCTTACAATTCCTCATCTGAGCTACTCAGCAGTCTTTCATCTCTCTCTGTGTCCCCAGGGGTTGGTCTCAGACATAACCCTCCTGACAATCATTTCTGTCAAGACTTGCCTAGGACTCCCCCAGACTCTCCCAGAGACTGGTCGCCAGGGCCCTTCCAGCTTCTTCGAATCAAGAGAAACCCCCATTTACTCAGACCCTACCTTCTGTGTCTCCCCAACCCCCAGCTCAGGTTTGGGAAGCCAGTCTGCCCCTGGGCCTCTCTGCTTAAACAGATTGGCTTATTTGGGTCACTGGGAGGAGCTCTGATAGGGAAGCTGAGAGAGTTCCAGCCCTACACTCCCAGCCTGGTGCCCTATTCCCACCATCCTGGAAGTGGCAGACTCCATGTCCCGCCCCCAGTTCTTCCTCCAGACATCCAGAATTCTCCCAGCTGCAGACGTCCTCTTCCCCAGCCCCTCTAGCCAATATGAATAGTTCACACTAGCAGGCTTTGGTCCTCTCAACAATTTTAGCAGCTAGGTACAGCCATAATCCCACTTTACAGATAAAGAAGGGAGGTTACACAGGTAGAAGCCAAGTTAAATTCAGATTGGCCTCATTCAATAGCAAATGTCTTAGCTACACAGACTCTACAGCGTCCTGGTCCCTCAGTCCTCCCTCCTGCCCCCGTCTAGGAAACAGTTCTGAGCCATTTGGATAGAAAAGGCAAGGTTGGGCTGGGAGGGTGGTGAGCTTTATCTATACTAGGTTAAGAAACGAGATCTCTGGGGTGATTTCTGAGGACGACTTTCAACAGGGCAACAGCAGAGCATTAAACCGAGTGTGCCCCTTCTTCTTCTTCTCTTTTATTTTTTTTTTGAGACGGAGTCTTTCTCTGTCACCTGCTGGAATGGAAGGCTGGAGTGCAATGCCACGATCTCGGCTCACTCCAACCTCTGCCTCCCAGGTTCAAGCCATTCTCCTGCTGCCCCAGCCTCCCAGGTAGCTGGTACTACAGACAAGCATGTGCCACCAAGCCTGGCTAATTTTTTTGTATTTTTAATAGAGATGGGATTTCACTATGCTCACCATGCTGGCCAGGCTGGTCTTGAACTCCTGACCTCAAGTGATCTGCCTGCCTCGGCCTCCCAAACTGCTGGGATTACAGATATAAGCCACCGTGCCTGGTTCCAAGCGTGGCCCTTCTGAGCACACTTATTTGGGTCAATAAAGCATTTCAGAGGGAACAGAAACCTCCCTGAAGGAAGGCTGTGAGGTACCACCCCCCTGCCTCTGCAAAGGCCTCCTGGTCAAAAAGAGCCTAATTGGAAGGGCACCTAACCCCCAGAAGTGCACCCCTCACATCAGAGCCTCTGCAGTCAGACCCCAAGCCCCACTGCCGTCTCCCTTGCTTCAGCTGGCAGGGCCCCAGCTAGAGCCGGCTTCGCGGGTACAAGACCTGTGCAGCCACAGGAGGCCCGTGCTCAGAAGGACCAAGCTTGCTTTAATGCTCTGCTGTTGCCCTGTTGAAAGTCCTCATAATACTTAAACAAGGGGCTCCATATTTTTATTTTGCACTGGGCCCCCACAATTATATATCAGGTCCTGCACACAGCATCAAAGAAGCTCGGGGCTGACAAGGTACTCAGACATAGCCCTCCTGGCAACCATACAAATGAGGAAACCAAGGCCAAGGAGAGGAAGTACCTTGGCTGGGGTTGGCAGCAGGCAGCAGGTCAGGTAGGGTGATAGTGGGAAGGGGTCAGATGTTCAGGGACCCGCCCCCAGGGGCCGTGCTATTTTCATAGAGCCAATCTGAGGGTTCCCCAGGCCATTTCTTTCTTGTTTTTTGAGACAGAGTCTTGCTCTGTCGCCCAGGCTAGAGTGCAGTGGTGCAATCTCAACTCACTGCAATCCTTGCCTTCCTGGTTCAAGCAATTCCCCTGTCTCAGCCTCCCCAGTAGCTGGGACTATAGGCACCCGCCACCATGCTCAGCTAATTTTTGTATTTTAAGTAGAGATGGGGTTTCACCATGTTGGTCAGGCTGGTCTCGATCTTCTGACTTCAGGTAATCCACCCACCTTGGCCTCCCAAAGTGCTGGAATCACAAGCCTGAGCCACCGCGCCTGCCCCCTCCCCCCCACCTCTACCAGCCCATTTCTCCACAAGCCCTGGAGCCCAGTCTTGGGTCCTGCCATGACAACAGAGTTCACCCTCTACCCTGCAATGATCCAGCTCCTCCCCTGCAGCCTCTACGCAGCATCCAACGGTAGCCCCTTCCTGCCAGGTTTTGTTGTGCAGAGGAAAGGTCTAGATGTGGAGGTGGGAGGGGAGATGAAGAGGTTGCTTTCTCCCCCTACTCCATGCTACCTCTGAGCTTCAACCAGCCCCAGGGGCTCAGTCTCTTCTGAGCCCCTGCAGAACACGGATGCCTCACTAAAGGAGCAGCACCTGGAGCCAGGAGAGAAGCCACTGCTGGCTTCACCAAGGATCTGGCAGGTCCAGTTTCCCCCGCCTCCTTCTCCCTTTCAGCCTCAGGGGCAGCTCACAGAAGAGCCCAGTCCTGGAGAGCATTGCTTGCTGGCTTCCCAGACTTAGCTCCACCTGCCCTGGCCCTGATCTGCCTTCTTGTTATGATCACAAGCAAGTCAAGTCAACTTGTATGTCTTGAGTGCCTAGCGTGTGTAGGCACTAGGGACGTCCCCAAGCCTCTACACCCCCAGCGTCCCTCCACCTCTTCCCACCCCCACTGTCTCCCAGCATTTTTGCTTCCCGCCAGCTCTGTCCCTCCTAACCCCTTACCCAGAGCTTCCTAGGTCCCCTCCTCCAGTCTGACTAGCGCTGGAAGGCTGCGCTGAGTATCACACACAATGGCCCGACCCCTCTGTCTGCCCCCTCCTTGGGGCAGAGCCAGCACCAGACAGTGGCCCCGCCCCCTCCCTTCAGAACTGTCTGTCAGTTCTCCCGCTCCCTTACCTGGAGCTTGGGGATGCCGCTGCGTTTCCCTCCCTCTGGAATGCCAGGCTTTCCGGTCTCCCAGTGCCTCAGCCCCTGCCACACCCCCACCCCCATCCTCAACCCCATCCCGCCTCACTGGTCCTCAGTCACCATGGCGACCGCATCTCTAAGTGGGAGGGACTAGAATCTCCCCATATTCTTCCTCCTCCTACCCGTGTCCCACTGCGCCCCACCTTCTGTGGCTCCTGGATTCACACGTGTGGAGGAGGAGGGGCTCCAGATGTGGGCGGAGGTGAAAGGGGGGTACAGTAGCCCCCATCCCCGCTTAGCTCCCTTACCCACCCTCAGCGGGCACCATGATGCAGATGTCCCCAGCTGGGTTAAGGGGATCAGACGGGGCCAATTCCCCTTCACGGCCAGTTCTTCTGGGTTTCCCTCTTTCCTGGGAACTGTGTATATGCCGGGAGAACACAGCCCGGCCCCATGCAAATTCAGTTTGCCAATGAGGATGCGAATGAACCCACAAACATCTGTGCAGATAAGCCAAGGGGCAGACTCCGTCAGGAAACCCAAGGAACCCTCTCCTGTCACAGTAGCCTGACTTCTGAGGGAGGGGATCCACCGCTGCGTTCAGGCTCTGCCTTTCCTTCCTAAGCTGCCTGAGAAGGTGGCTGCCCCAGAAGCCTTCTCTAGCTAACACACTCCGAGACTAAGAGGGAAAGGCTTGTGCTGGAGGAGGAAGGGTAGGGGGCAGACTTCAGAGGACTTTCCAAGAGTCCAGACTAGATGGGCATAGAGAAAGAAGACTGAGCTGGATTCTTTCCCTTTTGGGGAGGAGCACAGGCAGGCAGAGGTTTGTGTGGTACCTTTCTGGGGGCCGAGCCTGTGCCCTCTCACAGCCCTGATCCTAAACAGCCTTGTTACTAGAGCTCCCTTCTCTCTCCACTGGGCCCTCAGTTCGCTGGTAAAATGAGGAGTTGAGAAAGCCCCTTCAGGCCTGGCGCGGTGGCTCACAGCCTCACTTTGGGAGGCCAAGGCAGGCAGATCACCTGAGGTTGGGAGTTCGAGACCAGCGTGACCAACATAGAAAAGCCCCAACTTTACTAAAAACACAAAATTCCCCAGGCGTGGTGGTGCACGCCTGTAATTGCAGCTACTTGGGAGGCTGAGGCAGGAGAATCGCTAGAACCCTGGAGACGGAGGTTGCGGTGAGCCGAGATCACACCATTGCACTCCAGCCTGGGCAACAAGAGAGAAACTCTCTCTCAAAATAAAAAAAAGAAAAAAGGCCCCTTCCAGGCTTTCCTCTCTCAGCTGGCAGGGGCACTAGTAAAAGGCACCATGAGCCTGGGACAAGGACCCTGGGTCCCAGGCCTAGAGGCCTGTAGCCTGCTGTGTGAGCCGGGCAGGGCACTTGCCCTCTCTGCCTCACCTTGGTAAAATAACAGCTTTTCAGCCCGCCTGGGAGCAGCGTGGCTCCAGCAGGCTTCACAGTAGCTATAAGAGGAAGGAAATGAGCATGCCGGTATTGGTCCCGGGTAGAGGGTTTTATGGACCAAGACTGGTTCTCCTTCAGGTCTGAGTTGGAGTGGTGGTTGAGCATTAGCCTTGGGGTGAGGCAAGAAGGTCATGGCATGCGCTGAAAGCAGAAGTGGACGCTGAGCGGGGCCGCCATGTCCCCACTGCTTCCTGACCCTCCACCTTGCTGCCCCTCTGCACCTTGGCCTCGGGGACTCAGAGAGGGCCTGCTTCTCCAGGCTTCTCTCCCCTGGGGCTGAGACACATGGCAGCGTGGGGAGAAATTGAGATTAAGATGGTGGGGTGTAGAGGACCCTGAACTAGTGCGGTAACAGGAAGGAAGCGAGAGAGCTGCAGGAAGCCCTCACACCCCCA